AAGGTGGTGTTGTCTTTTTTTTTTTCTTTTTTCAGAATACAGTAAGAAAGATTATGCACATGACTTTTAAGGATATAAAATGTAAGCCATTGAAATAAGGGTATTATCATTCTTTTCTCATTTTTTTTTTATTATTTGTTTGGTTAAGGGTTGCAATGTAATCTAATATTTAATTTATAATTTTTAAATATAAAAAAAATTTAAGTGTATGGAGACGCCTCGCATTTTAGGCCACACCTATGGTATTTTTTGGTAGTGTAAAATGAGCTTTCGCTATTTTATTTGATTCTTTTTCATGTTCTTTTTTTAAATTAGTGGTATGTGATATCTAAAATAATTGATTTATTGCCAATGACCATTCCTTTTTCTCCTTTTATTTATTTCTTTTGTCCTAGAAAATCAACTATGGTCCTTATTGTTGATGGTATTTCAAATTCAGTTCTTTTAGTTTTGATTTTTGTCCTTTTTGTTTAAAGTTTTATTTATTTTTAATTTTAATTTTTAATTTTAATTTGTAAATGTATGTTTTCCAATTCATTTCTTCTACTTTTGATTTTTTTTACCTTGCTCTTTTATCAAAACTTTTATGATTTTTAATTTTTCCCCTCATATCAAGTTTTTTATTATTTTTTTAACTAAGAATAATAAAAATTTAAATTTGGTTCCTTTCTTTTGATTTCTTTTTTATTTCCTTTTTTCAAAGTTTTTATGAAGTTAAAAAAATCAAATATATAAAAATATTATTTAAATTAAATATATTATATAAATCTAAATGTATTAGATGTAGTCTATTGATTACATATAATATGTAATTAAATATAATAGGAATATATTAGACCGGTAATAGAAATATAATAGGAATGATCTTGAAAAAAATATTTGGTGTAGCTATTTACAAATAGAATCTAGATATTACATGTCAATATCAAAATAAAAAAAAATATATAACTATAATTGAATAGTAAAATTTCTCTTTGCAAAAAAAAAAATGCAATAATAGCGGTAAATGGTAGTGATATTTGGTGTAGCTATTTACAAATAGAATCTAGATTTTACATGTCAATATCAAAATAAAAAAATATAAATATAATTGAATAGTAAAATTTCTTTTTGCAAAAAAAAAACACAATAATAGCAGTAAATGGTAGCGATGATGGTTATAATAAAAGTAATGATGATAATAATAGTAGTTATAGTAGTGGTAGTGGTGATAATGAGGGTAATAATAGTAATGGTGATAATAATAATAATAGTCTTCAAATAAAGTTTATATTTTTTTGTTACTTCAACAATAATGATAATGATAATAGTAGTAGTAATAATATTATTAATAATTATAATAATAGTATTAATAATAGTTTATAATAATAATAATAATAATAATGGTGGTGGTGGTGGTGGTTATAATAAAGATAATAGTAATAATAGTGGTGGTAATGATGATATGATGGTAGTAATAGTAGTAGCAGTAATATTAATAGCAATGATAGTGATAATAATAGTAATATTAATGATAATAATAAAAAAATTAGAAAAAAGCTAAAAAGAAAAGGAGTTTTATATTGTAGCCATATAGATAATCTACTATTTACTACACGAATCAAGTGACATTTATGACTTTAAAAAAAAAAACACGTGCCTTAGAGCTAGGGGTGTTTTTTTATTTTCACATGATTTATTAATTATTATAGATTTGGTTGATGGTATTTCTTTTTATTCAACATTTTTAATTATAGTAAAATAAAAAAAATATACCTAAGAATAAAAAAATCACCACCACTAAGGCGGCAAGGGTATCTTGATTTTTTTTTTTTATAAACATTCAAATCCAAGAAATGTAAGAAATTAAGGTCAATGGTATTGGTGTCTTTTAGTCTTGATTTTTTTTTAATTGGAGGTTTGATTGAGGGTGATAATATAATTTAGTAATTTAATAATATTTTTAAATTTAAAAAACTACTTGCATATTAAGACCACTAATTGAGACCACCACGTGCTTTGAATAGTGTATTCAGTGATTTCTTAAGGTCAAAAATAAGCATTCGTTGTATAATTTTATTTTTTATTGTTTCCTCTTCCATAAAAAGTAGCATATATTGTCCAAAAATAAATAATGTTGTCTTAGCTTTGGACCCAATTAATACATTTCAAAACACCAGGGACCAAACTACAATATGTCATTTTTCATGCCAAATGACGTCGTTTCGGGTCATACTGTTCATCATTTGTTAGCTGAAGACCGATTCAACAGGGGAGAAAATCCGGCAGATCATTCCAGCAAATCACGGCCACGGCACCATGATCTCTTGCCCACGATCCCGCTCATGGATTGATTAACAGGGGAACTGGTTTCTGCATGCTCTCGGGCTCTATAAAAGGCAGAGCAGAGCATAGATAGAGAGGGAGGCCAGGAAAGAAAGACGAAAACAGAGAAGAAAATAAAAGGGGAAAAAAAAACCTAGAACAGGGAGAAAAAAAACTAAAAAACGAGGAGGAAAACCGAAAACCAGAAAAGAAAAGAGCAAAAACACAACACAAAAACAGAGACCCAAATTCGAACTCCAGCACTGTCCTCTGTTCTTCATCAAACGGACAGAGGGGACGAGCAGGAAGATTGGACAGAAACGAAAAGGAAGACCAGGGGAAGCAAAAAAAAAAGAAGAGGCAGGAATACCGAGAACAGAACACACAGAGAACGGAGAAAACAGGAAAAGCACAGGGGAGAACGAACGAAAAGCGCAGAACCATGGAAACACAGAAAAAAAGAAAGAGCAAGGAGCAGGAAGGAAACTCGAAGAGAGGAGCTTCGTCCGCTGATTCGTGCACAGTCTCTGCAAAGCCAGGTAAGTTCTTCTCCTCGCTTTGTTAATTAAGTCCCGTGCAAGGTAAGCCAGGTAAGTTCTTCTCCTCACTTTGTTAATTAATTTCCATTTGTAACAGTGCAAGGTAATACGTATAAAAATAAAAATATTAAAAGTACAAAAATAAAAAATAAAAAATATGTGCATGCATAAAAAATAAATTTATTTTTATTTATTTATTCACTGACGCCAGAGTCGGGAATAAAAAATACTGATTTAAATTTATTTTATTTTTTGTGTGATGTGTAAAAATAAATGTATTTGATTTGTTTATTCACTGACGCTAGAGTCAGGAATAAAAAAAATAACTGATTTAAATTATTATTTTTTTATAGCTATGTGATATTTACCAACGCTAGAGTTGGAAATATCTGTAGTTAAATATTCACTGACGCCAAAGTCAGGAATATTACACGCAAAATCACCGTACCATAAACCAACAAAACATTAGCAATTATTGACAAAGTCAGTAATGCAGCCTGTCTTAGACAGGACGCCAAAAGAGTGATAATATCTTCCTTTTTGTGTAATCAGTCTCGAACCATAGAATCTCTGTTGACCAGTTAGGATTTCTAATAACCATAATATTAGGTGGCGACTTCTTAAATAAAAAATATTCTCATGAAAAAATAAGATGCTAGAAATCTTTTTCTTTCCAATTTTTTTTTTTTAAGGCCGCCGCGATGTCCAGATATGACATATCTCGGATACCCCTTAAACATACGAAGGCTATGTATTTTTTTTGATAATTTTGTGCATCAAGAAAAATAATTTTTTAATCAAATTAATATTAAATAGATATAATTTGCATACAAACTAATGGATCCATGGAAAAGATTTATTATCAGTGTCTCTTCTAGAATTCAACCTTGTATATAACATATTCATAAACATAAATCAGTTACATTTAGTAAGTAAAGACACCGAAAAAATGGAATCAAAATAAATGAAGAAATCGGGCAAGCACAGACAAATATCTTGTTAAATGTAAAAGGGAGCTTGAGAGAGAGAAAATTAATAAAATTAATTCTCAAACATTTTCCCTAACGTGTTAGGTGGTACATATATATGGGCCGAATGCCGTTGAGCATGGCGGTTGCAACGGTAGAAGAGGTGGCTGTCGAATTGAAGCAGCGAGCTAGGAGGTTATAAAACAAAGTAGAGGGAGGAAAGGAACTACCGCCGGGGGAGGTGAGGTGTAAAATTTCTCAGATAGAGAGCGTTGGGCAACATGTGTTTTTAAAAATTTTTAATTTTTTTTATTAAATTTTAATTTTTTTTATGTTTTGAATAATTTAAATATATTATGTTAAAAATAATTTTTAAAAAATAAAAAAATTATTTTTATATATTTTTAAATAAAAAATATTTTAAAAAACAATCACAACCACACTTCTAAATAACTATATTTATAATAATTATTTCTGTTTAATAATGTTGCCCAAACTGTATGTGTTTTAAAATTATATAGATGATGTTTATTTAGAGACTATTTAGAATGGTAATAAAAGGTTGTTTTCTAAAGTAATTTTTATCTGAAAATATATTAAAATAATATATATATTTTTTTAATATTAACACAATAAAACAATAAAAAAAATTAATTTAAAATTAAAAAAAATATTTTTTTTTAAAAAATAATTAAACTAAAATATCAAATGACATAAATTAAAAAAATTAAACTAAAATATCAAATGACATAAACTATCTACATAGAAATGCCTACTTATCTCGCCAGCATCAACAACACCAGGACATATATATATATACAAAATACTCTTTTCTTGTATTATTATTTTTCTCCTCTAAATCGATTAGATACTTATAATTATAGGAATTTTAGAATCAAAATTGACTGATTGATTAACTAGAATACACAGTACTAATACAATAGATACATTTTTAAAATCTTTCAGAAGAAAAATAAATAAATCTTAGTTTGCATTAGAATATTTATATTAAACCTTTTCTTTTTAAGAAAGCAATCGTAATTATTAGTTAAAATATTATATAATTTGGTGATGAGGACTCTCCTTTAGAGCAAACTAATTAAATTTATTGCACCATATCTTTAGGTAGATTCGATTTATCTCATAGCATTAGACAAAATGAGAAGTAAGCAATATGATATCAATAAATTATAGAAAGTGACATTAACAAACAACTACGAAATTATCCTCCTCGCTTATTAAATGAGAATTTAAGGAAATTTGGCGAACAACAAATTTATTGTAACAGTGTGTCCATATTATTGTCTAGGCACCCTATTATTCAGACACATAATTAAATACGGATCATCAAATACTGGAATTCTGACCGTGAAGAGACGCGAAGGCTACAAGATGGCGAGCACCGCCCAAAAATGCTGTGGATGTCACCTTTCTCAGTACTTATCCAGACTTTCAGGCCCTCCTGATCAAAAGAATCCACGTCTATATCCAGGATTATTGTAATCATAATGTGGCAACACCATATTTGGATTGAAACCACCTGCTTTTCGATCATAAGGGAAAATCCCCCCGCTGGAACTTGAAGCAAAAAATTGTGGAGGACCCGGATTTTCGATTAGAAGTTTTTGAGCTTGCTTCGTCACATTCATCTTTAGGCCCTCCAGAGATACCTTCAACTGCTCAATTTGAGGCAATGTAAGTTCCTCGATGGGAGCCTCCCACCAGCTTTGACTTTGGCCAGCCTTCCTCATTTGGCTGAGCTCCTCTCCTCGCTTTTTCTCTATCTCAAATTGGTTTACCGCCTGATGCAAAAATATTGATGAAATAGAATTTTTAAGCTACTTTTATCACTTGTAAAGGACAATGGATGGTTCCGATTGAAAGTTTACACACAAATCTGTAGAGCTTGACTCGCTTAATTTATTTTTTGGAATTATTAAAGACTTGATCCGTGCATGTGACGAAACAAAACGATATGGTTTGTGTGTAATGCCTAACCACACATCGATCTCGCCTTTGCTACATTTCCTCTTGATGCTCTCAGCACACCATCTACAAACCGAGAGATTAATGAAAACGCCATACTTGACACGATCATAAATATATTTACGTACCTGGGTGAGCTGCATATTCAGTTCACGGACGGTGGCATTGCGATGAGCTTCAATAAGTTGCATGGTACCTGAGTTTTGAGGAGGGTTTCTAGTGAAGTAACGATCAATGACATTCTCAACACCAGGGTGGCCGAAGGAAAAAACCCTGTTTCCCGGAGAAAAGACGATGATAGCAATCTCCGCGCCACAAAGAGTGGAAAGCTCGCTAGCCTTTTTGAAAAGCCCGGACCTGCGTTTTGAAAAGGTAACTTGGAGATTGCTTTCCTTCGACATTTTCACCATCTCCACCTTTTGGCGACCTCTGCTCTTTCTCGCCATGGTTAAAGCTACAAAAGTTCAAAAGAAAATAAATGGTACTCTACTGTTTTGTTTGGCATGAAAATGCAGGATTTATATAGGATTTTATTGGTTAATTTATTCGTTTATTTTTAATAACTGGTCAGGATGTTGAAAATCAGAGCTAGCTGTTCCTTATTGATCATCATTTTGGCGGCAGTTTTATTAATCAAGTTAATAGTTTACTAGTTTTGCAAGTTCCAGAGAATCCCTTTACGATTCACATACATGGCATTGCATCGTGAATACTTGGAAATTTTAGAGTTACGTCATTCTTACAACGCATGAAGATTTACTTGTAACGAGGAAACTTTCTTGAAAACTTGTGCTTTCTATCGAGTACTTTTCCTGCCCTCCTGTTTTCGTTGATGAATAAAATTTCCTCTTTTTTCTGTGTCCGACAAGCCGTGGCCAGATTGCCGGCCAAAATACCCTTTCCCATATTATAATTTAACTTTTGTTGCCATTGTATCTAAATTATCTTCTACACCAGCTTTTGTTTCATATATTCACACTTATTCAAGTAAATTTATTTCTAGAACATAGCTCTAAAAATTTTCAAGAAAGGAAAAAAAAGGTGCCGGAAACTGTCAAAGATTTCATAACAAGTTAACTTAGAATCAATATCGGGCCAATAGATAAGAAATTAATGAGATTTTTGTTGTTACTTATTAATAAAGAAGAATAAAATTAAGATGCCACATGTATAACATGAGAAATTCAAAGAATAATAATTAGTGATATTTATTTACTAAATTTATTTTAAAAAATAAAATAAATAAATTTTAGAAGAAAATATTTTTTTTATGAATTAAGTAAACTAATAAGATGAATAATAGTAAAAAAAAAAAATGCTATGGACGACATATTCACCCCGCGGATGAATCATGGTAGAGAAACGTCCCTATCCAGTGATGGGTATGATTTGTTCAATTGATTGGGAATTTAGTATGATTTTGTTAACAAATATCACTTATCACATTATCAACAATATTGAAGGAGGTCAGATCCCTTGAATAAGACCTTTCAAATTGTTTCTATAACTTGTCCAGATATGTTTAATTAAGTGCATCTGTGGAGCAACTCAGATAACAAGCATAATTTTTCAGGCATCCTCCCCGTATAAAAGTCATCCATAGATTCTACTATTACGTGAGGGAGGAGTGAATAATTCATGCATAACTTGATCCCCTTTTCCATCTCCACAACCCCCCTTACTGTTTCTTCTTTACTGTTTCTTTTTTAATGCCTATTACAAAGTCTTTCTAAGTATGTATTTGATATTGTGTTATATAATTTTTATGTATTAAAATAAAAAAAATCAGTTTTTTATTTTTATTTTTAATATTAACATGATAAAATCATTATAAAATACTAAAAATATATTAATTTAATATTTATTCAAATCAAATACCCCTCCCACCATGCGGAATGGACATTTCACCTTGTTTGTTTTTCTATTTTAAATGTTTTTTTGAAAAAAATTAAATTTTTTATTTTCGCTATGCAGAATGGACATTTCACCTTGTTTGTTTTTCCATTTTAAATGCTTTTTTGAAAAAATTTAAATTTTTTTATTTTTTATTTAAAATTAATATTTTTTAAGTATTTTTAAATCATTTTAATACATTGATGCTAGAATAATTTTTAAAAATTTAAAAAAATACTATTTTAATATATTTTTAAATAAAAATATTTTGAAAAACAAACAGACATGCTGTGACATTTTCTTCCAAAATACAACTCGACTTATGATATTGCAGACTTGTTGGTGACATTGCCAAGATTTGGTGAAATGCAGAACAGCAACAGTAAACAATCACGCAAATAGACTGAAGTGAAAAGGCATTCAAGCAAGCAAATTTTATGGAGAAAAAATAAATAGAAAGTGCCTATTTATGATAGAGATTCAAATCTGCCTCGTACAACATTGAAAAAGGTTACGAAAGTAATAAGAATACTCTGCATATATATATATATATATATATATATATATATATAAGCACGATTTATCTGTTCCAATATTACATAAATAGATGCCCGGAACGAAAACTTGACTTGAGCGCAGAGGGCACAAAAACTCAAATGACCTCAAGAATGATTGGCAATACATCTGATGGGAAGCTAACCCCGACTAGACAGCTCACTGCTGGGTACAGAAAGATAAATCTCTGAGCTGTTGAGGATCCACCTCTGATGGTGTCCTAGTAAGGGCACACTGAGCAGTTGTTGTCTTTGGGAAAGCTATGACATCCCTGATGGAAGTAGCCCCAGCCAACAACATAGCCAATCTGTCCAGCCCATAAGCAATCCCCCCTGTGGTAAAAAGAGGGAGATCAAAACCAGTGAAATATGTAGTTCGGTAGTAAAATGATCATCAAGTCCTAGAACAGGCTCAGCATTCCATACCATGTGGAGGAGCGCCCATGTCTAAAGCCTCCAGAAGATACCCAAACTTCGCTTCAGCCTGCAGACAATGAAATGTGACTCTATTTACAGGAAAGGGTGTGAAGGTATTCCTAATAAAGATGATTATGTGGTATAACCATGGTAAAAGATGGGACTTGTGGACTAGCAGTCCCAGCATTCCTAGTGAAGATGCCAGGTTTCCGTTTGGGAATTCAGGTTACCAAATGCCTAAGAGGGCTAGAGAAAACTCTGTTTACTTGTGCTTTTCTTAATTGGATAATTAGTCCATGTGCCTTGGAGAAACGCAAAGCTAAACATAAAAAATCCTTGCCCTAAAAGATCGAAGGTAAATATTTTAAAATCCAATTTTGAGGTTTTAATTTTCCAGAGATAGTTTCTAATGTTTCAGAATTCATCTTCCTTTTACATAATCCACCACCCATAATTTTCTTTCCCATCAACAAGCAACAGCTCATAAGTCAAAAAATGGCACGGAGAAAAATAAACAGAAAACAGTAGCGAATCCTCCTCCAGTGATTTTATGTATGTTATGGAGAAAATATTGAACATGGAACGCATGACAATCAAAAGTGCATACAGCGTCAGGTGCTTCTCACCTGTTCAGGGGAGATGCCAACAATTTCCAAGACCTTCTGTTGGACCTCACGTTTATAAATTCTCAAACTTCCTCCGCCAATCTGACAGTGCAACAAAATAAAGAAAAGAAAAAAGTTGTTCATTATGGCCTGGCATAGCCTTCAAGCTTGTAGACATGTAAAGATACAGGGCTAAATACCTCAACCCCATTGTAAACCATGTCATAAGCAAGGGCACGAGCAGAGGAAAGGTCTTCCATGTCTTCTGGATTGGGAGCAGTAAATGGATGATGCAAGGCCTGCCAGAAAACTACAATTTCAAGAAAAAGAAAGAAAAAGATAGTACCATACAGAATGAGACTCGTGATAACCTGATGTGACTAGCTGTCAATCACACAACAGCCCCAGCATGGAAAAAAAAATTAAGTGACAGTTAAAATAAGAACTTCAATTTAATTCTTATCAATCTTTATTCTCCAAATTCCTAGATCTAACCTGGAGCTAGCTGTACCAGGAAACCAAACAAAACCTTTTTTTCATTTCTCTTATTTATCCAAAATTAAAAAAAGAAAATGGCTAAAAGAGATTATGATTTGGAAGCATCCATTAGCTTAAATAGGCAGATGCACAACACCGCGATGTTTTAATATCTATAGCAGAAACCTATGATACTAACAAGGGGGGGTACAGGGTAGTTTAACTCGGTAAAGCAGCAAGTTAAATATTTCTCAGCTAACATACAGAGTAAACAATATATTAAAATTATAAAAATACAATTTTGTAACAATATGTCAACACAGGCAATAACATGCATCCTTGTGTACTCCAGATATAGTTCTATCACCTGCATATGTGATGATCACTACCCAGTTGACATACTAATATGAAATATGATGAATTTTGATGGCCTTTGAATTAATTGAAAAACATTTAACGAAAAGATAGTGTAGCACTTATTTCATTAGAATTTCAAGAGGAAAAAGTGTTGAAAGACAAACCTCAAGCCTCTGCTCTGTTTCATTCCACTCAAACATTGGGAAATCAGTCACCCACAAAATCGAATGCCTGGACTAAAACATTAGAGGCAGAGAAAAAGACAGATGTCAAAGAAAAAGAGACCAATGGTAATATGTATTTCATAAACCAGACAAATCCAAAACATACATGATCAATCAAGCCCAGCTGATTGGCTATGAATAGCCTAAGTCGATCAAGCGTTCTATGAACTGATGGATGATGGCCAACTGCAAACAAGATAAGATCCCCTGGTCCTGCAGAGCAGCGACTTAGCAACTGCTCTTTATTTGTTGAGTCCAAACTTGATACTAGTGCAGAAATTCCCTCAAGCTCCCCTGTGAAAATTGAAATATACACAGCGAAGTACTTGAGTAACAGTATCATTCACCTTTAGGATAAGGGTGGAAAGAAAAATCCAAGGAAACCATCTTCCTTTACCATCATCCAAGACCTTTAGAAAGGGCAAACCCTTTGCTCCAGATTTGATTGCTTCATTGTAAATATCACCTTTCTTAAGAGCAGAGTTTGAATAACTTTTAGCACCTGAAGGAACACATAGTACTTTAATAATACCCCCACTGTTCAAGCTATCAGTAAAAACCCTGAAAGAGGACTCTGCAAAAATATCAGATACCTGCAGCATCAGAGGAAAATATCCTTTAATAGTTTACATGTAGCACGTGAAGTCCTTGTAAAATTTGATGTATTGTAGAATGTGCTGTAATGCCAAGTACACAAGAGAAAGGAGATGATTTACTTCTTTCAAATGAAGATCAAATCTAGTGTCCGGCCTGTCTGAACCATATTTACTCATTGCTTCAGCATATGTAAGCCTAGGGAATGGATTTGGTAGCTGGACACCTTTAATCTCCAAAAAAACCTGTAAGGAAGCATAAATTTGCAGTCAAACCCTGCAATGTAGAGAGATATAAATGTTCGAACATGCAAGATTTCTGCTAGTGGAAAATTATACAATGTGGCTAGTATATACTGTTGAGTGCATGCCCAACTGCTTAATACAAATAAAACAACCAACTTGCAACAGATAACTGGTGAGATAGCTGAAATGTCTGGTCAACTCTCAATAAAGTGAAATGAATTGTTCACTGGCAAGCTCAAAATATGCAGAGCAAGGAGAAATGGCTGAACCAAGCCCAAGATGCAGCATCGTTCATGTCATTTACAAGCCACGATTAGCTCAACTCGAATGGAAATTTGAATCCAGTACTTACCTTTAACATAGATGTAACAAGAGTAGAAAGGTGAATTAACTAAATTTCAATTATATCATAGAATTAGATGTTTAAATTCAATGCCATTCTTGTTTTTCCTTTCTTCATCCTGTTCTACCTTTTATTTGACTTCTTCTATCAATACCCAATCAGAAAATAAAAGGACCACGCAGCAAGTTTTACCAACCTTCCGGATAAGATCTTCATTGAGCCTCAGCATATCCTCCAAGGTAGTGAACGCCAACTCCATATCTAGCTGAGTGAACTCAGGTTGTCGATCTGCCCTTAGATCTTCATCTCTAAAGCATCTGCTAAGAAACAAAAATATAATCTTCATCATGTGAGTTTTAGATTTCTGTTGCAACAAGTAGAGAGAATTGGTCATGTGAAATTAAAGGCCAGGTAAAGTAAAGCTCACTTCCTCTGTGTGTATAACAAAAACTATACATGGCGAAAGCTCATTGCCAAAGGAGAAGACAAAGGGCAGAAACAAACAGCATGGCATCACATTTTCATACAACAACAATCATAAACATCTAGGAAGAGAATTTACCTTGCAATTTGATAATATTTGTCAAAACCGGATACCATTAACATTTGCTTAAAGAGTTGTGGACTCTGGGGTAAAGCATAGAAGGTTCCTGGCTTCAAAAGGAAATTAAAGTGAATCAGAGCCATGCAAGCCTTATAGAAAGTTAAATGAGTAACAGATAGCTGCATGGAACAATATTTAATGAAAAGTATGTTTCTCCACAAATTTATTATAATCAAGACCATCACAATGCAAAATGTAAGAATTAAGGGGCAAATAATACCACTCAATCCATCTCATTTGGTTATTCAGTTAGTCCACAATTTTGCCGATAAAACTCCAAAACCTCACCGGGATTACCTCATGTACAGTACACAGTTGACAAATTTGAAATTGACATTAAATCTCTCCAGAAGTTGAGATGTCAATGTTGTCACTTCAGAAATAGTGCACTACTACCCAAACTCCAAAAAGCTTTATATTACTTTGAGTAGCAAGCTAGTAAATACCAAGTACCTGAATTCTTGAGGGCACCAAATAATCCCGGGCACCTTCTGGAGTAGATCTAGAAAGTATGGGGGTCTCAATCTAACCTTATAACCATGAAAAAGGTCAAGATCAAAACAACATACAAATATAAAAATCTAAAAACCAATGAACTAAGTAGAATATAAACAAACTAACACATAACACTTCAAAAAAAAAAAACAATGAACTAAGTAGAACATGAACTAACAGAAAACACTTAAAAATTCACATCATGTACCTCCACAAAACCCTGCACATCCTCTAGATATCTTCTAATGAGTTTCACCACTCTATGCCTCAACATAATGTTAGAACTCATTTGCTGCCGCCTTAAGTCAAGACATCGATATCTATCACCGCACATTTAGCTTCCTTTAATCCACAAAATGGTGAGAAATATAAATCAACTTTGTGCATAAATGCAATGGAATGAGATGTACCTCAAACGAATCTCCTCCTTAACAGAATCCTTAGCATCATCTGCTGTAGTAACTAAAAAAGGCAACTTTGCTTTCACTGCATTTAACAATTGAACATGTTCCGCAACAACCTGGCACATATAACCAAATCAAACAAAACAAATAAAATAAAAAGGGGCAGCAACTAAATCAACAACTTTCTTTCTAATTCTAAGCAGTAAAAAGCAAAGGAAAGGGAGTCCAAGTAATATTTACCTCAATAGAACCAGTTATCAGTTTCTTATTGACAGACTCAACAGGCCGAGACCGAACAACCCCTTCAACAACAACCACATACTCCACTCTCAAATCATTTATAATCGAATGCGCATCAGGAAATTCATCAGGCGAAGTCGCAACCTAAATAAAAAAGAAGAGAAGAACCCCAAAAATCAAATTCATTCTCTAAGGACTTCACTTAACAAAACACAATCAAATTCCCATGAAACCATAAATAGAATAAAAGGAGATGCCTGAACAATGCCAGTGTGGTCTCTAAGATTGAGAAAGGTGAGACCACCATGGACTCTATGAAGAGCAACCCAGCCACCGAGACGAACACGTGTGCCAACATCATTGGTCGATAATTGACCACAAAAGTTGGTACGAGAGACCCAGTGCAGGGTATCGTTAGATTGTTGTTGTTGTTGCTGTGGCTTGAGAATGGTTTCAGGGGAAGAAGAAGAAGAAGCAGACAGAGTGACGAGGGCTCTTGTGCGTTTTGCGAAGCAGAAAGAGTGACGAGGGCTCTTGTGCGTTTTGCTTGAAGCGACTTAGGGAAGTGATACCTGAGAAGATTTTGGAAGAGAGGAAGAGAGGAGGGTATGGTGGTGCGAAGAGTGATTAGAGGGAAGGATCGGAGGAGAAGAATCATGGTGATGGTGGGGAGTCAAAAAATAGCGTGGGAATTTTGGGGATAGAGAGAAAGTACACAGGGTTTAAGGAGAAAAATAAGGGATTGGGTTTTGGACTTACTAAAGAGAGTGGAGAAACGAGCACGTGTGGCAGTCCTTCAAACGAGCAAGCTTGAAGGTTTTTTAAAACAAACACTGATTATTACAAAACAAAAATAAAATGTTAAAACAGCGAGAAAATTAATGCTTGTAAATTTCTGATAAAAGTGGCCGAGACTTGATAATGCTTTTATCACCAACTGCTATTTTACATGTTTTTAGTAAAGCAAAATAGATAGATGTTTTTTTTTTTTTTTTTTTTGGTAAGTTTGATAATGCTTTTATCACCAGCTGCTATTTTACATGTTTTTAGTAAAGCAAAATAGATAGATGTTTTTTTTTTCATCATGCCCTCCTCTACATGCTTTTTTTTTTAATTTTAGAATTTCATTTTTTTAAAATTAAATTTTTTTATATTTTTTAATCATTATGATGTGTTTGTATCAATAATAAATTTTAAAAAATAAAAAAAAATATTTTAATATATTTAAAAAAATACTTTAAAAAATAGCATTCACCATCATCCCAAATATTCTCTTTATAAACTTCATTAACTATATCAAAACTATCATGCCCTACTCTACATCTTAGCAGCTTTTTAACTGTAAGAAATCATTATTATCCGTATTTTACACTGGAGGTGTCTGTGAGGAGGTTTAGACATGCCTTTTTAAAATTTTAGAATTTTATTTTTTAAAATTAAATTTTTTTATGTTTTAATCATCTCTCTTTTTAACTGTGTCCAGTATCATGATAAAAGTTATATTTTAAAATGTTTTTTAATTTTAAAATGTATTAAAATAATAAATGTTAAAAAATAAAAAAATATTTTAATATATTTAATAAAACATTTTAAAAATAATATTTATCATCATCCCAAATACTCTTTTTATAAACTTCATTAACTATATCAAAACACAAAACTCAACTTAATCATCTCTCTTTTTAACTGTGTCCAGTATCATGATAAAAGTTATATTTTAAAATGTTTTTTAATTTTAAAATGTATTAAAATAATATTTTTTATTTTTTAAAATTTATTTTTTATATTAATATATTAAGATGATTTTAAAATATAAAAAAATTAAAAAATATAGTTTTAAAATACAAAAATAAACTAGATACATTTACAACTGAATTTATTACCATAGTCGTCTCTCTCTTTAACTTTGTTCAGTATTACGAAAAGAGTTATTTTCTAAAGTGTTTTTAAATTTTAAAATAATATTTTTTATTTTTTTGATGATTTTCTCCTATTCAAATTAAAAAAATAGATTATAGATTCATATTTCACTTAAATAAAAAAATATATTGAAAATAAAAATCCAAGTGAATGTTTGAAAGAAAAACACATTAAACTGCACGATGGAAAATGATTTATCAATCTTTTAATAGCATCAATCGAGCCATCATTCCATAAATTAAAACCAGGACCGTACAATGTAGCAGCGAACAATGCATGGCTTTACGGTTGGAAATTTTTGTCTGAACCGAGGATCATTTTCCCTAGGCCTGGCCCGTGTTACATTAGTGGGCTTTATCTCGTGCGGACTTGTGAGGATCCATGGCAGTTTCCGTATATATTCTTTTTATATATGTGCATTTTGTTGCCAAAATGTTTTTCTTATTGATGGCATGTTTGTTGAATTAAAAATAGAGGTAATTAAAATATTCTTTTATCAAAACCTAAAAAAATTTTAAAAAGTAGGAAAACAAGCATCTCAAATTTTCTGATTAATACTTTCCTATTCTTAACAGAAAATTATTTTTTTAATTAAAAATTATTTTTTAAATAAAAAAATTACCATAGTATGAAAAGCAAGTACCGTTAAAAAAACATTGAAAATTATATCTCGATGTTTTATAAAAATAAATAAAATAATAAATATGAGAAACTATGTAAAATAACTATAATAAAAACATATAAATTCTATTTCGTTGAATATGCATGACCACAAGTCTAAAGAATATTTATATATTAGGTTTTAATTAATAAATGATGGCTAGTATTACAAGAACAACTGTTAAAACAACAAAAAAATGAATGGTAATGCCATTTTTAAAAACATATAATCTTATTTATTTTATTTATAGTAAATTTTAATTAGTTTTTCTTAGAAATAACTAAAGGGTTTTTCCAAAAATGATTAGACGCCAGGATAATTGTATCTTGCTTTACGAGACAAAAGGCCATACAAATGGGTGTCTTTATGGCTATGCTCGTGCACTGGGTCCTCGTCTCCCTTTTTTAATGAGATAGATAACATGTTATATGTTTTATTTAAAAAAAAAATTAAAACAAATAACATATCACCCACTGCTTGCTTTGGACATAGAAAACTCGTTTTCAATAATTTTTTCATGTAAAAACACTTTAACCATCTTCATAAACGTGTATAAAAAAAACAAGAGCCCTCGTATAATTTTTTCAGTAGCAAGAAACTTGAAAAAGACTTCGAAGGAACTCCGCTTGTCAGGAGAGACAGCATATCACTGCAATGCTTTGATTTTTTTTAGTTTTTTTTTTCTTTTAATTTATCTTTTAATCCTAGCTTTATTGAGTATTTAATTCTATTATTGATTTAACTTTGATTAACTTAGATTTATTTGTTTATTTATTTATTTTATTATTTAATATGAAAATGATTGCAAATTGGACTTAAAAATTGCTTCAATTTAATTTTTATACAGTTGTCTCAAACTTATTATTCAAATTGTGATTTTAATGAGTTGATTCAAAATATTTTTTTAATTTTATTTTAATTGATTGTTTTTTAAATTCATTATTTAATACTGGATTGATTGATATTTGAGCTTTATAATTTATTTTACATTAAATTATCTCGATCTTATGACCAAGATATCAAGATTAGCAACTTAGCTTGGATTGACTCATATTATTTTTTTATTTTTTTTTTGTCAATCTCGTCCTTTAATACCATGTTGATTGATAATAGAGTTTTATAATTTATTTCAATTTATTTTTTATAATATTATTATAGTCACATGATTTGGTTTATAAAATGATCCAATATAATGGTGTTTTAATATTATAAAACATTGTCATCTTATTCTTTTTCCAGTGAAACTATATATTTACCAGTGATTGTGTTATTTATAAATTGTTAAAATAATCGAGTCATATTAAATTAACCCTTATATAATTTAGTTTTTTTCATTAAAAACATGCTAAAATGACTAATTTTTATGTTGACATTATTAAAAAAAAAAAGAAGGTCAATAATCAGGTAAAATCTAATTTTAAAAGTGAAACACATATTTACCTCGCTGAATAATACGCATGTTGAATCAAACAGACTTTGAACGATTCATAACTAGACAAATTTTAAAATTAACACACAAAATTAAAATAATTGGTGAATTAACATATGAGCAAGAAGTTAGGGTAAAATCCTATATTTTCATTTTTTTTGTATTTTAAAAGTACGATATTTACTCAATGTTGCTATTTTAAAATGCAGCAAGTGAAACTCCAATTACTTGACTCAACCAGTTAATTGTTTATAATGCTCGGTAAGTTGATTAGTTTTGTAAATAATAAAAAAAATCTTAAAATTACTAAAATTGGAGAGACCTTACAAGATTTTTTATATCTTAAGATCCAACAGTTTGTATAGTGACATAATAGTTACTATATAGGAAACAACCCCGGGGAACTCCAAAAAAAAATTCAAGTGGAATTTAACTGTAAGATAAAAAATCAAGGCCATTTTGATCAATTATTTTGGTCTAATATGATCAAACCTCTTTTTGGTCTTCGATCTATCTTATTGGTCCATAAATGCACATATTAAGCCATTCATGCATTTTATTTGTGATAAATTCTCATTTAGTCATGACAAACTGATACTTAATTGCTTAGAATTACTTGTTATCGCAAGCCCGACTACATCGTTGACATTGAAAAATAAAAGACAACTACCGTGTGAATAATAAATTCTTAAGATTTTAATTGGAGTCTATTTTTTGGATCTACAAATTAGATATATATTTGTATTTTAACTTATAGAACAAATTTAGATGAAAAAATTAATTAAAGTATGATTTTTTATGTGAAATAGTTGGTTGATTTATATAACTAGATTCTCAATCAACTAATTGAGTTAGATTATTAAAGTTTTATATTATGATGGTTTAGAAGTACGAGATTTACTGAATATCGCTATTTTAAAATATGATAATTATCTTATTATATTTAGAAATAATAATAATTAGTAAATATTGTATTTATGAAGCATGATAAAATGATATTATATTTCACCAATTTTTTCTTAAATATTGTTATTCTGCTAAAAAATAACAATAATTAGTAAATATTGTATTTCTAAAGAATGATAAAATGATATTATATTTCACCAATTTTTTCTTAAATATTGTTATTCTGCTAAAATATTTAAAAAACTATGTTAATTTTTTAAAAATATCCTTCATAATTCCATATACGGTAAATAAAACAACAAAAAAATGCATCGTCGCTCCTCAACGGCTACAATCCAAGCCATCAAAATAACAATCGCACTGAAATCTAACGGCTCCTACCTTTTAACCCTCGCTATTCAAATCTTATTCTCCAACGGTCAAATGCCAACAACCCTCCACTCATTAAAATCCCCACAAGCTTATAGCCGTTACCATCTCTCTCTCTCTCCTCAACCCCACTCATTAAAATCCCCACAAGCTTATTTCCAAAACTAGCCGTTACCATCTCTCTCTCTCTCCTCTGTAAACTCTCTCCCCCTCAAATCAAATCCACAGCATTAAACATTCAAAGATTCTTTTTTTATATATCCAAATCAAGAATCAATCAAGTTTAACCCATGATCAGCACCCCGGCTAAAGAATCCAAGGCTGCAAGCAAGAAGTTGGATTCCTGCTCTCCAATACCAAGCAGACCAACAAATCCCATTTCAAGAAACTCAGAGATTAATCCAATGAGGAGAAGTTTCAGTGGAAGCCCATTTTCTAATCCTTCTATTATTTCCAATCAAGTAGGGGGAGGCTTTAACCCCAATACTCCTGTTAATAGCCCTTCAGGTTTGATTTCTTTCACCGTTTCCTTTTCCTTTTTTTTTCTTGCAGTGAACAAACATTCAATACATCTTAATACATCTTTTATTGGGTTTTGTTTAGTCTTTTCTATAATTTAATAGGGTTTTGCTATATTTTATTTTTTATTGGAAAATAGCTTATGAGGTTGTCTATGGTTTGTTTGGGAAGTAACTGAAAGGATAGGAATTTGCTACATCTTGTGCTTTTTTGAATGAGATTTTAATAAAACGATGGCTTAATGGGTTGTCAATACTTGGTTTGGCAATTAAGCCTTCCATTTGTTTAATTAAGTTTTTCTTATGCTGGAAACTAGTTTTTGGGTCAATTTTGCAACAAAACAGATTCGGTGTTTTAGAGTGAACGTGGTAGATATTCCATGTTAATGTTGCCCTTAAGTTTACTTGAAACAAAGAGATTCTGCAAAAATCACCGGACATAATGTTTCAATCAAGTTCCCTTTTGGTCTTCAACAGCCAATTCGTAAAAGCTTGTTTTGTTTTAAAATTGATAACTTGATTCTGATCGGCAGCTTTTTGTTTTTTGGCTTGCAGATTATCCGCGAAGAAACTCTATTAGCAGAGACAATATCGTAGTTACATTGCGTGATCACGAGGACAAAGAAAATGGTAAAGACCAGACTTGGAAATCAGTGAGAATTCGTTCACCTGCAAAGGGTACAAAGAATTTCATGTCTCCAACAATTTCTGCAGCTTCAAAAATCAATGCATCTCCGAAAAAGAAAATCTTGGCTGATAGGAATGAGCAAATTCGCACTTCGATTTCATTTGCTGATGCAAAAAGCCCTTTAATGGAAGACTCGGACTCAAACCATGACAAGGGTTTGAATCAGAAGAAGGAGGTCTCGTTTGATTCAACAGTCATTTACTTGGCGGGCAATAATGATTCCAAAAGTGAGAAACGTGTTGATTTGATCGTAGATTCAAGTGCTAAAGATGATTTGGACTTATCATCAGAGAAACTAACTGTTGAGAAGGATTGTGTTAATCTTGACTCAAGTTGTAAGATTAATCCAAGGGTCTCTAGGTCATTGCCAAGTCCTGCTCTGGCTCCTCTTGACGCAGATCCATCAATGCCTCCTTATGATCCTAAGACTAATTACCTCTCACCAAGGCCTCAGTTTCTTCATTATAGGCCTAACCCGCGAGTTGAGCTTTATCTAAACAAGGAAAGAGATGGCCAACCACTTGATGAGATTTTTGCATCAGAATCCTCAGAAACTGAAGTTAGTGAAGCAGAAGACAGTCACTCTGATGATTTGCAGAAAGAATCGGATGCTTCTTTAGCCAATGAGGTGAAAGAAGAAGAGGAATCGGAAGAGCTGCTGCTAATATCTGAACCCAACCCCATTAGTACTTTTTTGGAGGAGGAGAAGGAAGAGCTGCTTGTATCTGTGCCCAATTCCATTAGTACTTCTGCGGAGAAGGCTAGAGAGAAAAGGGTGTCTAAATCACATTTCTTTACAAGAAGAAAGTTCGATGCTTTGCTTTTTGTCCTGACTGTTGGATTTTTATATGCTTCGTTTTCTAAATCCCCAGTCATGGATCCTTCTGTGCTGAATAACTTGACCTTCCCTGAGCCTTATGTCCCACCTGAACTCTCAGAGTATGCCAGGCAAAGTTTTGAAGCTCTAGCTCATAAGGTCCAGCTTTGGCTACATCAGAGTATTTGTTACACACACAATCTGATTAACAGCTTCAGAGGTGGGCACAACCTGGGTTCCTTGCAGTATGCCAATTTGACCATTTTGGTTGAAGATGGCATAGTTGATGGTCAATTTGCATTTGAACAGAGCATTTTAGGATCAAAAGTCAAGTACGAAGAGAAAGTTTCAGCGCCCATAAGTGCAGCAGGGGTAGACATTAAGCTAGTAGATGAATGGGATCTACCAAGTACAGCTGATGAGGACATTAAAGAAGTTGCAGGAGATAATAATGATGGGTATTTTGATAGTGTTCCAGATCCTGAAGAGGTTAGCGTTCCCGCCTCTGAAGAAGTAAATCTGCTCCCCCAATCTGAGGTGACTGGACCTCGTAAGGAGGTCATCCAAGAAAGTGCTGAAACCGCTAACGTTGTGAAGCTGCAAAGCAACATAGACCTTGAAGACCAGTCTGCACTGATCCCACAAGCTGCTGAAATTCAACCAGAAATCTTGAATTCCATGCAATCTCAAGGCAGAGATGATATTAGTTCTGCAGATATTGAGTCCATTGTAGAAGAGGACAATTTTGAAATACTTGAAGGAGCTGCCACAGAAAATCCACGAAGTTCAGAATTAGTGAACACACATTCAGCACCACAGAGAATGGTCGGGATTTCCTTGATTGTTTTCAGTCTACTCGGGACAGTCTTCATTTATATGAAAAGTCGAACTCCCACAGATCAAAACGCTACATTTACAGCGGATCAAGTGCCAATTCCTAAGAAATTGGATTGTTGCCCACTGTCAGTTGGAGCAGAACATGAAGACATTGCTGGAGAGTCATGCTCATCAGAAATGAGTAGCTTCAGCTTGTCTTACAGCAAGAAAGGACAGAAGGGAAAAAGTGAAGCTCCAAGTTACGAGAGGAAGCCCAGGAAGAGCAATCACAGGAGAGAATCCATGGCTTCGTCAGGCTATTCCGTCGGTTCCATGGGTTCGCCCTCTTACGGCAGCTTCACCACTTATGAAAAGATCCCAAGCAAGCATGTAAAGAGCCTATATTCCTATATTGTTCATTTATGGTTTTGTATAACTGCAACTTGAATTGTTATCTTACGTGTTTTTTTTTTTTTGAAGGGAAATGCAGATGAAGAGGTGATCACTCCAGTTAGGCGCTCTAGCAGAATCAGACACCATGTCACTTCTCCATGACCTGTTCAAAAAAAATTTCTGGATGATGGCACAACTCTCTTGTGATTTTGTTGTGATTGAATCGCTATTTAGTTGCCAACTAGCTACTTTAACAACATAGCTTAATTTGATTGCTTGTAATCGAGCTCAACCCTGTCGAGCTCAACCCTGTTGTTGTGGGGAGTGCTTCAACTATATAGCATAGCTTAATTTGGTTGCTTGTAATCGAGCTCAACCTTGTTGTTGTGGGGAGTGCTTCAACTATATTGAGTCTTCAGTAGATTTCCGTTGTTAAAGATTGCTCTGATTGTTTAGGCTACTTTGAATTGCCTATATAATTCATTGTTTCGGGTTTACTTTTCTTTTTGCTTAACAGTTCTTTTAGCTAGAGTTCTGTGACTTGACTTTCAAGTTTTAGGAGAGGAGCTAGCTAGTAGTGCTTGCCCTCAAGCACCATTTAAAAATGTTACTCTTCCATTAATGAATTTTCCTTGCACGCAGCCTTACAGTCATTAATGGTGGTGTTTATTTTTGAAGTTACCAATGCAAAATCTATGCTGGAACATAAAGTGCGTTGTGGAAGTGTCTAAGCTTAGATCGATTGAATCCAACTTCCATTATGTTTTTTGAGGTCATTGAAGTATCATTTAAATTGTTTGATGGTTGGTCTCATGTTTAGCCACATCAAAGATGGATTCGAGTTAATATTTGTTTTGACCCAGATACTTTCATGACTATAAAGAGAAAAGAGTAGTTAAAAAACTGATATAAGTTGATACTGCGATTAGTGTGCGTTCTCAGGAAGCGTGAGTTGTTACCTGAAACTAGGGTTTAGTATTCCACGACAATTGTAATTCGAACTATCATAAAGAAAAGAAAATTTTAATTATGTAAATAAACAAAACAAGGATGTAGGTGTTTGAATGGTTGAGGACACTCATCATTCATCTAATTCATCTGCACATGGCATCCAATACTACAATGAAGCCTGAAGTGAAGATTTTGTTGGGAAAACTCGGAACAACCGGATACCAATTTACCCGGATCAATTCAGCGGAATACAATTACAATTCACAAGTCCCAATTCTTTCCCTCTTTGTGCAGTAAAACAGAATCAAACAATGATGAAAATAATGCAAATAATCACAAAATCAACACTAAAATTTTTAACGTGGAAAACCCGATGCGGGAAAAACCACGGGACCGTAGTCCACCTAAAAACTTCCACTATCAACAAATAATGGGTTCACAATCATTCTTCCTCAGATTCAACTAAGGGATACAACATATATATCATCAAGAACAACTTATTCTTGGATTACAACAAAAGAACAACTTATTCTTGGATTACAATAAATTAAAGGAGAATTATTAGAGAAAAAACTCACAAAACTGACAGCCCCGTTTTCTATCAAAACGGTCAGCTTCCACTCCACCAATCTTTGATCCAACCGTCCAAAATGAAGATCAACGTGTCTAGAAGCTGTTTTCAAAATCTCAGCCCGATCCAACGGTGAACGAGCTAGAAATCGAAAAAAGAATACAGGCTGCTCTGCTGCCTTTTCTTCTCTTTTTCTCTCTTGATTTTCTTCTCCTCTCTTCTCTTTTTAAATCTGTTGCTACAGTACCCGAACCCCACTAATATTAACACCAAAAGATAGCCATCACATGACATTTAATGTGATGGTCCTACCATCACATGGTGTGGGACCATACACAACAAATCTCCCTCTCACACACCATGTGAGGAATTCGTCATACCGGCGATCAATATGTAAAATTCAATTTAGGAGGCTCTAACAAGCTTGCTTCCTTTCTGCAAAACTCAAACTTCTCTCTCGGTAGAGGTTTGGTCATCATGTCAGACACGTTGTCATCATTATGGATCTTCTCAACAACAAATGACTTTATCTCCATAGCATCTCGAATCCATTGATATCTAACCTCAATGTGCTTTGATCGAGAATGAAAAGTAGGATGCTTAATGAGATGGATTGCACTTTGACTGTCACAGTGCAACACAAAGTTCTCTTGAACTAAGCCAAGTTCATGCAAGAACTTCTTCATCCATAACAACTCTTTGCCCCCTTCAGTAAAAGCAATATATTCGGCCTCTGTAGTGGATAATGCAACACATTTTTGCAACCTTGATTGCCATGAGACTGCTCCCCCTGCAAACTTCATCAAGTATCCTGATGTGGACTTTCTAGAATCAACATCACCAGCCATATCTGCATCTGTGTATCCATCCAACACAGGTTTATCATTACCAAAACATAAACTGAAACTAGAAGTACTTTTGAGATACCTGAGTATCCATTTCACTGCTGACCAGTGTTCTTTACCAGGATTTGAGAGGAATCGACTAACCACACCAACTGCATGAGCTATATCCGGCCTTGTGCAAACCATGGCATACATCAAGCTACCAACTGCGGATGCATAAGGAACCTTTTTCATCTCATCTTTTTCTTCATCACTTGAAGGACACTGCTTAGAACTTAGTTTAAAGTGGCTTGCAAGTGGAGAACAAACAGGTTTGGAGTTGCTCATGTTGAATCTCTCAAGTACCTTTTGAACATATCTCTCCTGAGATAGCCAAAGTTTTCCCTTCTTCCTGTCACGTGTGATCTTCATACCAAGAATCTGTTTTGTTGGTCCTAAGTCTTTCATTGCAAAAGACTTGCTCAACTCTTCCTTCAACATCTGAATCTTCTTAGCATCATGGCCAACAATCAACATATCATCCACATATAACAAGAGAATAATAAAGTTTCCATCTAGAAACCTTTTCATAAATACACAATGATCAGAAGTGGTTCTGTCATAACCATGATCCACCATAAAAGAATCAAACTTCTTATACCATTGTCTTGGAGCTTGCTTTAACCCATATAAGCTCTTTTTCAACTTACAAACTAGCTGCTCTTTACCTTTTGCTTCAAACCCTTCAGGCTGCTCCATGTAGATCTCCTCATCCAAATCACCATGGAGAAAGGCAGTTTTCACATCAAGTTGTTCTACTTCAAGATTCAAACTAGCAGCTAAGCCAAGCACAACTCGGATTGAAGACATCTTGACCACTGGTGAAAAGATTTCTTCAAAATCAATACCCTTCTTCTGACCGAAGCCTTTCACAACCAATCTTGCCTTGTACCTTGGTTGTGAGCAATGTTCATCAATTTTCAACCTGAACACCCATTTGTTCTTGAGTGCTCTCTTACCTTTAGGAAGCTTTACTAACTCAAAGGTATGGTTTTCATGCAAGGATTTCATCTCTTCTTGCATTGCTTTCAACCACTCACTTTTCTTCTCATGTGACATAGCTTCATCAAAGCATTCCGGCTCTCCCCCACCAGTGACCAACACATACTCATGAGGAGAATATCTGGTGGAAGGTTGGCGAGGTCTAGTTAACCTTCTTAATTGTGGCTCATCTGAAGCTTCCTGCATAACCTGTTCAGGAATAGCATCAACATCATTATTAGCTGCTTCAGGATCACCAACTAATGGCTCAATAAGAGAACCACCATTATCATCATTTTGCAAGTCTCCCCCATGATTAGCAAGCATCAAAGGTAACTGTGGAGCAGGTTTTGGAGTTGAATTAGTTGGAATAAAAACAATAGACTCTGTTTTCTCTTTCTGTTCAAAGTCTTCAATGGTTTGATCTTCAAAGAAGATAACATCTCTGCTTCTTATAATTTTCTTCTCCTTTGGATCCCATAACCTATAGCCAAACTCATCATCTTCAGAGCCTAAGAAAATGCACTGCTTTGTCTTGCTGTCAAGCTTAGACCTTTCATCTCTAGGAACATGTACAAATGCCCTGCATCCAAACACTCTTAAGTGTGCATAAGAGATATCTTTTTCTTTCCAAACTCTATCTGGAACATCAAATTCAAGAGGAACAGATGGAGAAAGGTTGATCATCGCAACTGCAGTCTTCATTGCCTCACCCCAAAAGGACTTAGGCAGCTTTGCATGAGAAAGCATACATCTAATTCTTTCAACAATGGTTCTGTTCATTCTCTCAGCCACTCCATTCTGCTGTGGAGTCTTAGGAACTGTCTTCTCCAACTTGATACCATGTTCCCTGCAGTACTTCTCAAAAGCACCCTTGTATTCACCACCATTGTCAGCTCGAACATATTTGAGCTTTCTACCAGTTTCTCTTTCAACTCTGGTATGGAAATCCTTAAAGACATCAAACACCTGATCTTTGGATTTCAAACAAGTGGCCTAAAATTTCCTGGAGTGATCATCAATAAAACTAACAAAGTACAATGCACCTCTAAGAGTTGTCAATCATATAGCAAACATCAATATGAACTAAATCAAGAACATGTGATCTTCTATGTGAAGATGATCTTTAAAATGCAACTCTGTGTTGTTTGCCAACTAAACAATGAGTACATGTGTTCAAGTTCATACCTTTTAATGGAAGGTAGTTCTTCTTGGCAAGGATGCCAAGGCCTTTCTCACTTAAATGTCCAAGCCGCTTATGCCACAGATCAGTAGAGCAATCTTCAATTGCATTCACCTCCCCTTTGATTACCTTGTCTTATGACATGTAGAGACCCATCTTCTTCCCTTTAGCAACAATCAGGGAATTTCTGGAAAGCTTCCATTTACCATCTCCAAAGTAATTGTGATAGCCTTCTTCATCAAGAGTACCTGTAGAGATCAAGTGTAGGCGCATATCAGACACATACCTAACATCTTTGAGTAGCAACTTGCACCCAGTATTGGTTTCCAACCAAATGTCTCCAATGCCCACAACACTAGCCATCCCTTGATTTCCCATCCTAACTTGACCAAAGTCACCAGCAGTGTAGGATGTGTAAAAATCATGTCGGGGTGTAATATGGTAAGAAGCTGCTGAATCTGCAACCCAGGTGGTATCTTGACATGCAAGATTAACACAACCATCATCACAAACAATGGCAACATCACCATCAAATACAACTGCAGCTGTACCATTCTCTTCATTCTTATCTTCATCTTTACCCTTTTTATCTCTTTTATACTTTCTGCAATCC